TTTCCACAGGATCTTTTTTTTTTCATTGACAGACTATTATCTTTGTTTACTGAATATAATTTGTTTATGTAGTTAATATTTTGTTTTATTAAAAAGAATGCTATGAGGGCCGAGCCCGTGGCGCACTCCAGAGAGTGCGGTGCTGGGAGCGCAGCAGCGCTCCCGCCGCGGGTTCGGATCCTATATAGGGATGACCGGTGCGCTCACAGCGCTCACTGGCTGAGCGCGGTGCGGCCGGTCTCAAAAAGGACAAAAAAAAAAAAGGATGCTATGAGGTTATTAAGAGAGTCATATACCTAGGAAAGACAGCATAAATTATTTTTGCTGTACATGCAAGTGGAGTAGATTAGACTTTACCTATTTTTTAAAATTAGTTATGCTATTAATAATTAGAGTTACTTGTAAGGCTTTTCTCTTGTACTTCCCTTTATATTTTCTCTTTCTTCTTCATATTCTAACTACTTGCCCTAATCTAGTTTTCCCCTTAGCACTTATCATCACTTGACATTATACATTTATTTGGCCATTGTCCACCTCTAGCCTGAGAAGGTGAAGGCCTTGGAGTTCAAGGCTTTATCTTATTTTCTGCAGAATCTCTAACTCCTAGAGACTGCTGGCACACAACAGGCATTTCATAAACACTTGTTAAATAAATTTTCCAGAAGAAGGCATTGTTGTATAATGCTTACTGATGGCAATATAATGACTCAATTCATTTTTAAAGTAAATTAAAGCAAACATGAATATTTCTAAAAATTGTTTGTATTAAGATAACACACTAATAAATTTTGTTGTAAGTATATTTATGCCTGCCCATCAAAATGTACTCTGTCCCTTGATGGAAAAGGAATAGAAAGGAGGCCATAGGCAGTTCTGAGGGTAACATTAAGAAGTTCTTATCTCCACCATATGCATGACAAAATTTTGGCTTAGACTGAACACTTTGATAAAGATTTTATCACTGCTAAAGATTTCACCACGGTCTTTAGAACTTTAAATGCTCTTTTCTTTACACTATACCATCTCTTAACAGGATTTGTGGACTTTGGAAAGTAAAATAAGTCCGAACAAAGTGAATTACAGTCAGGTGCCTCATAACGATGTTTCAGTCAATGGTGAACTGCTATACGGTGGTGACTATGCCATGTAGCCTAGGTGTGTGGTAGGCTGTACCATCCAGGTTTCTGTAGTGCACGCTATGCTGTTTGCACAGTGAAGAAATTGCCTAACAACGCATTTCTCAGAACGTATGCGTGTTGTTACATGACTGTAGTTGGGTAACCTCATGATTGTAGTTGGGCAACCTCAGTGGCTGGTAACGACCATATTCATCAAGAATATTTACCTACCAACATCTCCTCTTCCCCCAAAGAATTGGTAAAGGCATTTCTTCCAGCACATTTGGTTATTCTAACCTTCCTTCTTTTTTTATATGCTTCTATTGTTGATCATCCTATTTCTATAGGCACAGTCCTTCAAACACTCTTTTAGGTTTTGTCTTGGGAGACTTTCTGGCTCTTAATACATGTATTTTGGGCCAGCCTGTGGCTCACTCGGGAGAGTGCGGTGCTGATAACACCAAGGCCACAGGTTCTGATCCCATATAGGGATGGCCGGTTTGCTCACTGGGTGAGTGTGGTGCTGACAACACCAAGACAAGGGTTAAGATCCCCTTACCAGTCCTCTTCAAAAAAACCAAAATGTGTATTTCTATATCATTAGCTTAACTCTCCCCATTTTAGGTGCATTTTATTGTCTTCCTTGCATATTTCCCATGCTATTGCATGGCCACCTCATGTTCAAACACCTGTGCCTTTTTATCTTGGGCAGGCACATGGAAAGCTGCTGACTGCCTAGTTGATAAGGGCCAACCACTCTGTAAGGTCTGCCGAGAAGGGGAGGAGTACACAGAGAAGGAACATTATTCTCCTAAATGCAGAAGATGTAGAATTTGTGATGGAGGACATGGTAAGTGTCCTAAAAAACAATCAGAAGAGACCAATCCCGGTACTCCATGTAGAGCCATATATTATGCAGTTTGAAATTGGGACCTCCTCTGGTGCTATGTTGGCATACAGGAGTGGGTAGGACGGGGCTGGCTGGGGGTAAGATGGTCCAGGTACTGAGCTGATCATTGGTCTAGACATTTGTGGATCAAGACTAGGCAATTCTTCCAGGCATAGGTGAATGACTGAATATGAACCCTGTGAACAGGGCTCATCAGCTCCAGTCAAAACTGCAGAACTATTTTTCTTCCTGCCTTGACTTATGCTTGTATGATGGCTCTTGTTCATGGCCAGAAATTGCTCAGAAGCCTATAGATGCAAGGACAGAGAATCCCAAGAGGTGGGTAGGATGATCTTCATTCCTTGAGGATCTGGTTTGTTCTGATAATTCCAGTTGGGGACCTGAATTTTCATGGATATCTCAATCTATTCTGAGGGATCATATTAAAATATAATAGAAGTATTCCTAGTTTTATTTGATAACAAGAAACTTCTGGACATTAAGTTTCTCTTGTCCCTATTCAGGCTCAGCCCATGCTGTGCATTAGAACTGCCTAGGGGGCTATTAAAAATGTCAATGTTTAGGTCCCACCTCAGAATAGTTAATCAGAATCTCTAAGTGAGGACCTTAGCATCAGTCCGATGGTCTGATTGAGTAGGTCTACCTCACAATCTGCAGTTGTAACAAGCTCCCAGGTGATTCTGATGCTGCTGGTCCACAGGTCACACTTCGAGTAGCAAAACACTAGACCAGAGGAACAGGGGAGCCTTCTAAGCAAGGGTGAGGTTTGTCTTGGTTGCTAGATTGTCTGTCCACTTAAAACTCTGCTAAGTGATTGCTGGCCATTTCAACCTGAGGTTGCCTGTTTTGTGTTTAAACACTAGTTCTGTTACTAAAGGTGTGATGTTGTGATGGTTGAACTAAGCAGTGACTCTCAAAAATCTATGCAGCTCCTGCCAATTATTTTTGTTGTCCATTTATAACTAGCTGCTATAATTAATAGTTTGCAAACTGGTTTTTTAGGCTTGGAAGTGGAAATGAACTGTACCCAGACTCAGAATACCAAGTGCAGATGTAAATCAAACTTTTTTTGTAACACTTCTGTTTGTGAACACTGTGACCCCTGCAGCACGTAAGTTTTGGTCTTTTCTGATTAAAACTCTAACTATACCTTGAGAGATACTGTCTTTCTAGAGGGTCTGTGAGTCAAGAATTAGGGTTCTAGTCTTGCTTTGCCTTCAAACAGCTACATGACAATCTGCTCATTCAAACATCTAATGAACATTCCTAAACACTTCCTGTGTGCTGACATTGTGCTGGCTGCTTAAACTAACAAGGTGAGCAAGACACATTCTTGGTATCAAGGTCTCAGTCTAGAGGCAAAGACAGTCAAGAAAAGCAATGGTTATTATGTGTCAACACCACGTGGCAAGCATCAGAAGAGACTTATGGCCAGGGAGTTAAAAGTTATACAGGAAAACCTTTCATCTCTGCCTGAGGAGATGGGTGTCAAGATGTGACACAAGTCTTGAGTCTTGAAGGAAGGAAGGAAAGAGCATTAGCACATGTACATGGATGGAAAGCACATTTCAGGCAGGGGAACAGCAGCTGCAAAGACATAAAGGAAGCTCCAGGGAACAGGATACTTGGCTGGAGTGTAGGAAAGATTGGGAAGGAGCCAGGGCTGGATTACAAAGGGCCTTGTTTTTCATGCTAAAGAGCTTGGTTTTGAACCAAAGTTAGAAAACTTGATTGTTCATCTCCCTTTTCTGGTTAACTGTCTGAGTTTGAGATCTCTGAACCTCTCTGGGCTTCTGTTTCCCCCCTCATCAAATGCATGTAATATTTACTTGCCTTATCCGCCTCATTTCTGTGAAGATCAGATTAGGCAGTATGTGTTGTAAAGTAGTTTTTGCATTGAAAGATACTGTTTTGTACAAATACTAATGTTTAGGATTACTGTTCAGCTGCCTCTCCTCAAACTTGTAATTCATCTTGGGAAATTTTTAGTTCATCTAACAGACTTAAAAAGTAGACACATGATGCCTTATGTCTTATTTGTTAGAACAATTTTACAAGAAGCCACCCTGACTTCTCCCTTCTAGCCCTAAGTGTCTAAAAGTGCCCTCAGGATGATGGGATAGGCCGGAATTGTGGGGAAGGGGCTAACTTAGTAAAATAATAATAATGTTGTAAATACTTCATAATCTTGATTTGGTTTTCTTCTCATCATAAACCTTTGAGGTAGACAACATCATTATCTCCACGTTATTGATGAGATAATGGGTTCATGGCAGTTAAATAACCTGCCCAAGCTGACCTAGTTAGGTAATAGGCAGAGGCAGGCTTTGAACTCAGACCATCTGACTGTCAGTGTTTGTCTGTCTGAAGAAGATCCCACGTGAGTCTCCTAATCATCACCTGCTGCTAAAAGTGGCAACTTCTAAGGGACAGCTGGGTATCCTCCCTAAACAGTACCATGGGCAGTGGCTACTGTCTGGCCATTTTATTATCCGATGGGAATTTTTTGATATTGAATTTGGCAGTTTATTTTAACAGCCAGTTTATTTTAAGCCCTAGTGTTTTAAGAGATCAGTTTATTACCAGTTTTAAGTTTATTATTTTTGTCTATTTCATTCTCTGTCTTGCATGTTAATACTTTATTGCCTTCCTTTAACTCTTAATATCTTAAAACGTGAAGTCATTTCTTAAGATATTTTTCATCCAAACATCCAAATTATGCTATTAACTTGTACCACCTTTACATGTTCATCTAAAAATATTTGAGGGAGTATGTTTGCCAGAGATGCAAAGATGAATAAAATAGCCCCTAATTTATAATAAGCCATTGATTGAGGAATCAGTCCATCTGGCTTTTAAAATTCCCCCTGTACTTTTTCCTAGGTGTGAGCATGGAATCATTGAGAAATGCACACCGACCAGCAACACCAAATGCAAAGAAAAAGGTAATTATTTCTTTTTATGGTTATTTTCTCCTTTTTCTCATCCCCATGGTAAAATATGAAGAAAAGCCAATTGCTCTTGCTTATCTGGGAATACTTTGTTTAATTTTAAATTTTGCTTATTTTCATATCAAATGTCCAATGTTCCAATCCACAGGATCCAGATCTAATTTGCTGTGGTTGTGTTTCCTCTTGTTCCTGGTTCCAGTAATAATAGTTTGGGGTAAGCTCTTACTTTTTTCAAAGTGTAGATAGAAATAATTCGGGAAGTCGTTGTTCACAAGAATTTCCCTCCATATCTTACCTATTAGAAAGCTATCAGGTAGGTAGATCTGTTGGATTGTTAATTTCCTAACACTGAATGCACCCTTGAGAGCTGATAAGAACAGACGACATTGTCCCTCAGCTACTGTTGCTGAGCAACAGTACTGCAGCATCGAGTGATATTCCCATACTTCCTGTGAACAAATAATACTTTACTCTTCGTTGAGATCACTCCACGCATAAAGAGAACACAAAGAACGAGGGCCTTTTTGGGAAAGGCATTGCAGGGGGCAATTGATAAACTTGTCTCTCTCTGTGCCTCTTCTTTCTTGACCAAACTCCATGTTTTTTGATTATTTCTCCCTTTTAACTTAAAATACTACGGTGACATATTTTATGCAAGTGTTACTTAGCAAAGACAGCAGATAAGCTAAAATTAGGTATAATCGTATTTAGTCTAGAAAAATCCCTTTAAGTCATCCATAAAATACAGGGTTGTACCAATTTTCAATAACTCAGAGGCATCCAATTTTTCTTTCCGTGTTGGAACAAATCACTACTTCTTCAGTTCAGCTGAAAATAAAGAGGTTGCCTTGCCTTTAGAGGTTGTTTGGCTAAAAATACTTGATGTGTAAACATTGTAATTGTGCTTAGAGACTGGCAGATTCCTTTCTTCTATCTCACACTAACTTCAAGGCATACACTTATTAAGTGCTTATACTTGAGTTATTTGAAAGTGTGTGTTCTTGAATTTCTGGGCATTAAATGCCACTCCATGGCAAACTGATGTCAACTTTGCATGTTCTATGGGTTTGTCCCCTGCTCCAGCTGTGCCCCTACTTCCTTGCTGAAGAGGGACTGGTGGTGGCTATATGTTAAGTCAAAAGCCAGCTGCATGCTAAGCCAGTATGTGGTAATTGGGTGATTCAGTTAAGGTGTGGCCTATCTCTAGAACACGTGACTTAGCGGGGTGAGATTTCCAAAATCAGTATGGTGCTACCTTCTGCAGTGTTTGGCCACTTTAAGTTCAATGAATTTCTCCTTCTTCCTTCTTACACTTCTCTTAATGTGAAAGTATGTTCTCACATGCTTCTTACAAGGCTAATGGAAATTTCTTTGATCTTTCAGGGCTGAGAAGAGATCTGAGTCTAATGGAAATTTCTTTGATCTTTCAGGGCTGAGAAAATACAGATCATGGAGCAGTAAAAAGCGTGATTGCCACAAATCTGCAACCCTAAATCCTGTAGGTGCTGAAACATGCATGGCTTTCTTGAAAAAACAGAGAAAACAGAATTCGGTTTATTTGTTACTTTCTTTTAAACCAACACCTATTGTGTTTGTGTGTGCATGGGTTAAAGGGGCATCAAAAATGAATTAAGATATGGTGCCTAATTTATAAGTAAGCTTCTACCCAAATACCGTAAGAATCCACAAGAGGGAATTGAGAGCGTGCTGAAAGAGAGTTGCAAAAAATCATGGCCAAACTTCATGTTCCACGTTGATGTTATCCCTGCAGAGGCTTTCTTTATCAGAGCACAGATTCACTATCCAATCCCTAACAAAGAGACAGCTCATAAAGTCCATTTTAAAGGCACAGCTCAAGTGTCTCCAGCTACTTATTGACCTTACCTTTTTCCAACATGGGAATCGAGTTATTTCAAATAACAGAAAGACACACTGAGAAGAGAAACCAGTTCCACTTAATTGAATAATGATTTTCTCATTTGGTGCCAGGGTTTACTAGGAATTAGAGTTCTTTAAACTGATAAGTACAAAAAATTTTCAACTTAAATCATTTTCTGGTATCAAAATTAAGAATAGTTACAATAAAAAATTTTAGAATGATTATGTTTTTCTTTATTTTAATGAATCTATATGAAAAATAATATCAGCCCATTCCGTGAACTTCTTAGTTTCCTTGTCTTTATAAAAAAACAACTAGTATTGCTTAGTTTCTGGAGAGGCTGGAACCTTTCAGAATCGAAATTTGAATGGTGAATCAAATCACTTTGTCCAGTTTCCTAATTTTATTCATCAAGCAAGTGATAGTACTTCTTTCAGAATTAAGAAAATTAGAAGATTACATTTAGGATATTCTACATATATTTTTATTAATTGATTTTCCTGCCTCCATTTTTTTTTTCTCATCAGGAGACAGTGCCAATGAATTTATCAGGTAAGGCTTTTATCATTTCATTCCATAGAAATGGCTTCCTTTGGAGTAATAGGCCAAATTTAGAGTAAAATAATGTTGCTAATTTCAGTGACATATTGTGGGATTTTGCCATTCCTTGAGCTTACAATTCTTCCTGCTCACTATAAAAGATTTATCAGGCAGTTTGTTTAAATTTACAACTAATATTTGTAGTTTAAAATAAACCGGGTAGCAATAGGATACTATGTTTTGAGGCTTAAGAAATTTTTTTCCTACTATCAATTATATGTATTATAGAATTCCTTCCTAAACTGACTTAGGGGTTAAACTGAATTGCAGACACAAATGTTATTAGTGTACCCGACTCTATAACAACATATGTGATTCTATTCAGTTTTGTTCTTTGACCTGATTCAGAAATCAGATTGATCATAAACTCTTTGCCTATCCTTTTAAGTTTGTGGATCATTGATCATCAGATTTATAAGGGATGTTATAAATTTATCATCAAATTTATAAGAGATCTTTCCCAATCCTCTTATTTTATAGATGAGAAAAGAAAATACCCAGATGTTATGTCTTGTGCCCAGGTTATATGGCAAATTAATGAGGACATAGCAGGAGCTGGGATTAGAACTCAAGGATGCTTTTGTTTCTTTTTCCCCAATTTAGCTCTTCCTGTCTCTAGGACTTACCCATTTTCAGTAATGGGAATTTCATTTAGAAAAACAAATTTTCAGAGACTATTTTCTATTTTTCAGACATTGACTTGAGTAAATATATCACTGCTATTGCTGAAATAATGACAATACATGACGTTAAAGAATTTGTTCGGAAGAATGGTATGAATGAAGCCAAAATAGATGACATCAAGAACGACAATCCCCAAGACACAGCTGAGCAGAAAGTCCAACTGCTTCACAATTGGTACCAATGTCACGGGAAGAAAGACGCATATAACACTATGATTAAAAGTTTGAGAAAAGCCAATCTTTGTGCTCTTGCAGAAAAAATTGAGGAAATAGTCCAGAAGGACATAACCAGTGACCAAGAAATTTCAAACTTCAACAATGAAAATGAAAGACAAAGCTTGGCATAGAGTGAAAAATCACTAACTCAGTTCTGAGAATGTGTAATTAGTGTTTGAAAAAGTTCCTAATAACCGAATGCTGTAAATATTGCTTGGCTTTTTACTGGGTGTTTTTTACTTTTTCTTTTATTAGATTTGTAGGCTAATATATAGTTGAATGCAAAATTTAATAACGTTCTACCTCAAAGATCTTTGCACAGGTGATTGGTATTTTATTGTGCAATATTTCAATTTTGTATTCACATAGAAAATTCAGATTAAATTATAATGCTTGAGTATTTTGTATTTGTATGCCATTTTTTTAGTAGTGTTTTACTTTTATTTTTATTTATTTGTTATTTGTTATTTTTATTTATTTATTTATTTTCTTTCTTAATTTTATTTTGTCGATATACAATGAGGTTGATTATTGTGGCCCATTACCGAAACCCCCCTCCCTCCTCCCTCGCCCCCCTCCCACCCAACAATGTCCTCTCTGTTTGCTTGTTGTATCAACTTCAAGGAATTGTAGTTGTTGAGTCTTCCCCCCACCCCGGGATTTTTTGTGTGTGTGTGTGAATTTATTTATTTATTTTTAGCTCCCACCAAAAGTGAGAACATGTGGTATTTCTTTTTCTCTGCCTGACTCGTTTCACTTAATATAATTCTCTCAAGGTCCATCCATGTTGTTGCAAATGGCAGTATTTCAT